CTAGCCTCAAGACTATTCTTAAGTATTCAAAAATTATGTGCTCCAAACCAAACCAACTCTCCATCTTTCCCACAAACCTATTCCTTTCTGCTTCTCACCCTCTCAGAAAATGGGAACGTCACCTTTATACCTGCTCAGAAAGAAAGCCCTTGGAGCAGACCACCCCAGTTCTGTCACACCCTCATCAGTCTACTGTCAGAGCCCAGGGCTGTAACCCAGATATACTCCAAGGCCCAGTCCGGGCGCCTCCCACCACTGCCTCTGCTACCAAATCGGTCCCGGCCACTCCCGTGACTGAAACCAAGTAACAGCCAGCCATCAGCGTCCTTGCTTCCACCCTTGCTCCCTCTCAGTCTACACAGCAGCCAGAGTGTCTAAGCCTCAGAGGTTAATCTGCAGCTTGCCGCTGCCTCAAATCCGCGGGAACTCGCTCTTTCCCACTCAGAGTTATTCTCATGCAATCTGGGTCCCAGAACCTACTGGGCTTTTTGTTCCCCCCAGTCCGGACACACAGGCACAACCCAGGGCAGTCACACGTTTCCATCTGCTGCTTCCCATGGAGGAAAGGCTCTTTTGACTTAACGGAGTGAAGCAAGCGTGGCAGGCTCGCCAAGGAGTCCTGTGCCACTAGTCTCCTGGCTACTCTGGAGGTGGCCGTCGGCAGCCGCGCTTGCAGGCTACAGTGACATTCAGAGGCCACCTACCTGTCAAGCACGGGGGCGGCGGAGCTCAGTCCTATGACTTTCCACAGAACAGGAGCTCCCAATGAAATTGTGAGGGGCCGCAAGGAGAGGACCCAGCGCTAGTCCCCTAAAGTCACAGTGGCTTCAAGTGCCACAAGTGCCTGTCGACCGCGGTGGCGGGATATGAGAGTGGACGGTCAGAGACACGAGGGGAAGCGGGCTAGGAAGCGACCCAAGCCCGGGGTGGAAAGTTGCAACGAAACTGAACGGAGACAGGGAGAAGCCCAAGTTACGGCAGGAGACCTGTGAGGTGAGGGCCGCTCTGACTTTGATAAAGAAAACCACCCGCATCGGCCACTAGCGCTGGTCACGGGGGCCCCTTCCACCGCTAGCGCGTGCGCGGGTGCCGTTAACACAGCGGAACCCGCCCGGGAGACCAAGTTCGCGCCCGAGGCTGGGCGAGACTGGCCTTTCCGTTCCAGAAGGCGAAGTGGCAGCAATAATCTCCACTGCCTGTGGCACGGGGTGGGGGTGGGTCCACAGCCCGGACATGCCGAGGGCCTGCGCGGGGTCGGGCCGGGGTGTGCGTCAGCCCTTACAAATTCTTCCCGCCGATGCCCAGCTCCATTCCGTCCCACAGCCGGGACAGGTGACCACAACCCCCTCGACCGTCCTCATCCCCAACCCCCAGCCGCGTCCCGGGACCAACTCCAGAGATGCGCCCACCCGGGGAGGCCCGGGAGTGAAAACCCCGCCTCACCACGGCCCCGGCCACGGCGTGGACCAGGCTTTCGTAGGACAGCACGGACGACATCGGAGCGGCTTCCCGCGATCCCAGCACACCGTCCACGCAGAAGCCGCAGCCCGCCGAGGGAGTGCAGCGCCGCAATCGCCGGCGCGAGCGCCCCTGTCCCACCTCAGACCCGCCTCCTTCCAGAACAACCACTTCCGGGTCTCGGGACACGCGGCTTCCGGCCAGGGGGCGGGTCCGGAAACGCCCCTGGGCTCTGATTGGCTCGCGGGGCACCGAGCTCGCGGGCGGCGGGAGCGCCGACCGGCGCGTTCGGACGCGGGTCTGACAGCTCCTAGGCGCCCGGTTCTTATCAGTCGCGCTTCTCCCACCGCGACTGGGGACCTCAGGAAGCCTACTGGCCTCCCAATACCTCCCTTCACAAGACAAACTGGAAACCAGCGAGATGAGGGACTCGAGTCTCGCTCCCCCCCGCGAGTGTTTTCTGTAGCTTCCCGTTTTGGCCGAGGCACGGGCAAGTCTCCCTCTGAAAACCGAAGGGGTGCGGTGGTGTGAACCTGAGCTCCGGGGGTTCCGCTGTGAAAAACCCCACTGTGTGAGGGCTAGAAAGTTAAGCTTATGTAAGCGTACTGTAGACTGAAAAAAAGAAGCCCCACGCTGCGAAGTGACCAACCAGACCAGAGAGAAACCACCTTCCGCCCCTAACCGCGTAACGCGACTCGCGGTTTCGGACCTTCTTTCCCGGGCACGTGCCCTGTCTGGGCTGCAGTACCGTCACTTTGCTAGTACCTGGGCTAACTCCTGAGCCCAGCCCGTGAGCCCCGCCAGTGCAGCGTGCGCATTATCACGCTCCCTAGGCGGCGCTGGCCATGTTTACCTTGTTTCCACAAAATTTGCAGAAGCATTTTGACCACTAGTTAAGCCCTCTTTCCACCGACATTCCCTTATTTAGGATGGGGCAACACTCAGTGAGCACGGGAAAGGGGGTGGAGACAGTGGGTTTAGTGGTACCCCCTCAGGTGGTTACTACCCAGCGTCCTGCGGAAGGGCTTTTGGGGATACCCCCACCACACTCTAAGGACATGACAAGAGAAGCGGGTCCGTTGTAAAATTTAAGCAGATTTGTTCTGATTCCTAATCAAATCGGGGGCTCTCTTCAGAAACGGATGTAGCATGCATGCTTACAACACATCTCATACTCCCCTTTATGCTGGCAGGACACACAACTTGGCACAAATCCTACTTGTAGGGCACCAACCTCAAACATAAGTGTCTATCGATGTCAAATCTTGTCAAAAAACACTCTGGAGATGAAATTTTCTCATGGAAAACAGTTGTCACAATCAGAAAATGCAGTGAAAATTGTAGCAATTACATAGGCTATCACTTATTAAACAGTAACTATGTAATAATGTTCGTTATTCCCAGTCTTTAAAAATCGTTTTTGCTTCATTTTTTAGTATTCAAAATTACCTATTATGTCCCTTATTATGTAACCACCAAGCACACTGCAAAGTGTTAAAAATTCTGCCGTATATAAACAATAAAAAAACCTGCTTACACCCACATCAGCACAAAATGAGTAAAAGGTACTAGCCAGGTGAATGTTGATTCTATACTGGCACAGTCATCTGGGCGAGTGAATGCTAATCATAAACCAGAAACCTTGATTTTCAGAGCACCAAACGTTTTTATACTTTTTCCTCACCTCCTTACTACTGTACCTGCCAAATATTTAGAACCTGCAATTTTAGAATTAGGATTGTACCTAAAATTTTCAAAATCTTACAGAAAATCATGGACCTTTACAAAAGGGCTCAATACCAGTCATTTCAAACATTTGCAAACTTAACATGCCATACCTACATTTGCCTTTTGAGCAGTTAATTTTATTTTTGACTATTAGCCTCTCTCCCCAAACCCAATGCACTCAATTATGAAGTACACTAGTGTTTGTAAATATTGGTAGGTTACTGGACTTAATTGCCACACCATAATTTTGTAAATTAGTTTTCCCCTTTCCCTTACTATCGGGTCTATCACAAATACACAAAGCACATCAGATATGCTTTCGCCTCTCTACAAGAAAACCTTGTTGACATCAGCATATTAGCACACCTAGCAATGTGATACTCCTTATCTAGCCAATCCCCTTTAAATATAGTTTTCAAATTTCTTTAAACACTAGTTCTGTAAAAAGCATCCTGGTCCACGAAAGGGGCAGCAGAGCATAGCAAGACCTACCTTTGAAATACAAGAGTGGTAAGAATCCCAGCTGCACAAACTGTCAGCTGATACCCTTGGCAATTCATGCAAGTGCTTCAGTTTCCTCACCTATACAACAGGGGTAAAGTACTTACCTGCAAGGTTATCAGAATTAATAAACACTTGCAAATTAAGTTTAAGGGTAAAGTATTACTTACCTGAGGAGCTTACTTAGGTGCATTCATTTTAGATATTAGCATATATCTAAAATACAAGTTGTTTCCCTGGTTACCTGTTAGGTCAGTATTTGCTAGTGTAAGCAACTGCTAGTTGATACCCCAGGTCTTGTCTTTAATTTTGTGGCTAGGAATATGACCACATAGCTTTAGCCTAGCACTTTCTAGTTTTCTTTGTGGCTATGTATGATCTTAAGGAAAAAAAAAAGAAAAAAAACCTGACCAATGGGTAAGCAGAGGAATAAAATGTTGACCCCACACATTTGCCTCAGTCTCTGAGCACCTATCATCCTGGCATCCTCTCCACTTCAAGCTAGAAGATAGCACCAGCACTTTTTGGACCTAGAGTTGTAAGCTATCTTCTGAATATGGCGAATGTGATGTACTGCTACTGAGAAAGAGAGGTTCTGAATAACTTTGGCTAATATACTTTTTAGAGGTCTTTTTTTAACACTGCTTTATAACCTGAACTCTTTGTGACCAGTTAATGACGTTAATGCTAAACACATGAAAGAAAAAGAACACAAGCTGCCAAAGGGGCTCGGGGTAGGAGGGAGCCAACATGCAGTTTGAAACCATTCTTTATTTTTAACATAGCTAGAAATATCCAATAACTGTATATTTTTAGGCAAAAAGAAACCTTTTCTTTTCTTTCTTTATAGCATCATTAGTACAAGAACAGAATATATCTGGTTTAGAAATGACATTGAGGGTGTCACTGAGTGTCTATGAAGAATGAAGAATGTACTTGGCATTTATAGAACCAGACACATTTTCAGAAGACCAATTTTACGTAGATCCATATATGGTTAATATTTGCAATTTTATGATATATAATTAAGTAAATCAACTAAGGAACCCAGAAGTAATTGATCTTCTTGAGTTATTCACAGTACACACTGGGAACTTTGAAAAGGAAAGAGATCAACAAAAGAACACAAGTTCAAAGGCAAGTTTATATGCTGAGTATTTTTAAAGGGTTTAGAAAAAGCATGCTTCATTAGCATATAAGTTTTTCTCATGTATGTAACAGATGCACTTCTATATGCTTGTGTACAGCAAAGGGTAAAAATGTGATGAGTCAATTTAATTATGATTTCAGGAATGTGCCATTTCAGAAATGTATTCCATGGAATTTCTTTATTGCTTCTACCACTGATTCTTCAAATAATCAAAATACAGAGGGTCTCACCCTTTGTAATTGCTTTCAAATACAAGCAATTGAAGTTGAAAAATAGGGAGAAACCTAGAGAATTCTTGGTGCCATGCCTGAATTTTAGCTTATTTAATGGAAAGTTGAATGTTTTACAGACAACCTATTTTCTTTATTCTTGGAGGAGATAGAGGAAAGAAAAGAGAGGGTGGTGATATGGCCATAGTATTTAAGAGCTGAAGAAGAAAACAATCTCTCATGATGCCACCAACTCCACAATGACAAGCCAATGGATGTCATCAATTTCCCAACTCATGTTAGATCAGAAGTTAGGTTCCCCACTGTGTATGTACATCCTTATACTCAAACCTCACATGCTCCAAAATACAAAGATGAATACTACAAGATTCAAATGGCAAGTTATTTCCCAAATAAAAAACCAAAAGGAATCCTTCCTTCCAACATCTTTTGATGTGATAAAATTATACCTAAGTGGAAATCTAAGACAATTAAACATGAAACCTCTCACCAAGTAAGAAACTACAGCTGTCTGGGGTATTACCCTTCATAGTTACTGTATGTAATATATTAAATTGAACTCAGCATTAAAAATGCTTGCACAATTATACTGTGAGTGATGGCAGCAGTGATGGTACTAGTGGAAATGGACTATCTTTAGCCCAAGAACAGTAAGGGAGGGAAAACTATGAAAGCAGAAAATAAGACAAAGAGAAGGCCAACCTTCCAACCAGGAAAGGTAATAAAAACAGAACTAGAAAAAAAGAAAGTATTTCCCTATTTTCCCTATGTGGAAATAACATTAAACACTTATTTCATAGCTCTGACAATAGGTAAGTCAGCCAACTTGACTGCAGCATTATAAAAAATAATCCCTTCAATACAGTGTAAGATGTCAATGCACCCGCACATGGGTGTCACTGGACCCGGGGTGAGTGCTGCTGCCCAGCCAAGGCCTTCCAGTCCCCACCTAGTCCCACTCAAATACGGATGGTCCCAACAGTTTTGTCAAAATATTTTTTTAAATAAAGCATTTAAAAAGACAAATTAAAATGCCTCAGAGACCATATATCCAACTTCAAACAATTTGTTTCAATTTCTTATTTACCTCCAACTAATATCTCTCAAACTGAACAATGAATCATCTTCCTTGCCCAAGTAATTCAAAGAAAACTCCCAAAATGATTAATAAAGAAAACTGTAGGGATTAACACACCCTTTTAATTTGTTTTAAATATTTTTAAGGTTTAAAAAGTATTTAAAGTTTATAATTCCTAGTAGGAAAACATTATCTGAATGAATACCCTAATGGCAAACCACTGTAAAATATTTCAGCTGCAATTTGGGGTACAGGGGTAGGGATTATCTTCAAAGCACCCCAGCTTTCTTCAGGAGAAGGTCAGAGGTACACTGGTTTGTATTATTGCGACATCCATTAGGTGATCTAAGTTGCTTTTCCTTCAGCATAGGTGTTATCTGTCAGCGCATTACGCCTGACCTCCAAATTTGGCTGACAATTTACTGATGAGATTCATAACCTTTGGGTTACTCTGGTATTTTGACATATTTGCTGGATTCTGAGCCACATCCTGGAAAGCCACCATAACTTCTGGATCCTGCAAAAAAAAGGTACTTGTTTTTTAAAAATTATTTAAAACTGTGTTTTCTATTAGGTCATCAAATGTGTTTCCTAAATTCTACCTCTTTCATGCAGACCTAACTCCTATCTCTTTATTTTGTCTTTGCAAAGTTAACTGGGGTCTAGGCATGTCATTGAATTATAAATATTAATGTTACTTCAAAGTCAGTTATGTCACTTGAACTAGATAATGGGAAAAAGGTACACAGAATTTTAATATCAACAAAAAAAAGTGGCTATAATCACAAATTACATACTTTTTCCCACAAACTAATTCTTAAAAAGTGAAACTTTTCATCCTGAAAGAAAAAATGAAAATCACAACTAAGGGCCCTCCCTGGTGGCACAATGGGTTAAAGTGCCACACTCTGAAGCTATCAGCAGCTACTGCAGCACGCATGAGTTCGATCCCAGGCCAGGGAGGTGCTCCACATGTGTGGCAGACCTCTCCTGTGTCCCCGCTGCTCCCCTCAGCAGTGTATTTCAGTACATCTGCCTATTCTGGTCCCCACTTCGTCTCTGGCGAATCTTCTCAACCCTTGCACCTCTGGCCTGTACCCCAGTTCTAGATGCATAAATAAGTAAATCTTAAAAGAAAATCACAACTGAATAATCATAAATTTGGTAATTCAGATCAATAAAACATAGCTAACAGTAACCTCTGTGTCTGTACAAACTCTGAAAGAGATGCCTGAGTGATATGAAATCCAGCTTTGCTCTTCCAAGTCTTACCTGCATGGCTGCAAGAACCTCTGGATCACTAAGAATTTCATTGAGTCCAGGCATTCCTGCCATTCCAGGCATGCCCCCTCCCATTCCAGGCATTCCTCCAGGAAAGCTACCAGGCATTGCCCCAGGAAAGCCACCTGCAAAAATAAATGAAAGAACTTGTATAGAATCAACCATATTCCCAAGCTGTCTGATAATATACTATTTTCTCTGACTAATGTAACAAGCACTCAAACCTGTATGCACAAAGAATAAGAGTCTTACTACTAAATACAAAACAGTCTGAACATTCTGATTGGCAGTAACAAGAGTAAATTTTTAATTTTAAACTCTCTTGGCTATAAATCATAATTTGCAACCTTCTTAATTCAGTTTTCCTAAAAAATTGTCAAGAAAACTAACCTAACCTTAAAACAGAAAGATTAAGTCTCTTAGAATCACAAAATTTAAAGGTCTAATAAATCACATCTTAAAACCTTCTTTAATATTATCTGTTTCAATTTAAAGTTAGTTCATGAGTGTTTTTAAATGCTATCCTTCTAGAATATCCTCAAAAACTACATAAAGGCCTTGTTATAATTTCTGAATGTCAAACTGAGAATCTGCATTTTTAACAAAAATTCTGTTTCTTCACACTAAGAACAATACCCCAGCAAACAGAATTTTAGTCTTCCTTTGTGAATATGTGTGCCTGATCCCACCATGAAAGGGTGTACTGGCTAGGGCTGGTCCCACCTGCCTTGGGGTCCTGCACTGCTGTGATAGGTTCCGACCACCTTGACCACCTTGACCCAACTGGAGTAAGTAGGTTGAGGAATGAATGAACACAAATGATTATTTTGTATTAAAGTGTAAAAAAGAAAGAAAGAAAGAAAAAAATGCTTAGACTCTTCATTTATAAGTTTGGTGATTTTTTTTTTGTGGTCAAAAACATACCGTAAAATTTAACTCTTGCTTATTATATCAGTTAGCCTATTGGTTTTGTTATCTGTGAAGACTACAGTGTAACAAAGCATTTTCACTTGCCTCAACACAAACATGCCCATAAATAACTAACAATCAAATAAGGAGAGCTAAGGGGCCAGAAGATAATTTCTAACTTCTCTGGCTGCTCTTAAGTGACTGGAAAAATTTTTTCCCATAAAAATGTTAACTGGCCTGTTTGTCAAGTCCAGATAATAAAATCCACGTACAAAACAAAGAGTATCTTTAGTCCTGCCTACATTTGTGGTCATCTTCCAAAACAAAGGCACGTGACATAATATTTTAAACAGGAAGTAAGCTTAATGCACTGAAAATGTTTTTGCTTTTATTTCCCATAGCAACTCACCTTCAGTGTATGTTCTTTAAATTTTCTTTAAGCTGTTCCACACAAATCAAAACAGAGCTACCTTTTCTAATCTCTGACCATGTAACAATTCTAACTAGTGCCATGTAAGTTTAAGTGGTGGTATCTGTCTAAATCTTCTTAAAAGAAACTAGTTACTATTAAATAGCTGAAGGGAGCTGATTTCCCATCAGAATTACACAAGTAAAAATAAAATTTCTTCCTGACTTTTTTTTCTTTTAAAGATTTACTTACTTATGCATACAGAACTGGGGTACAGGCCAGAGGTTCAGGGGTGGTGAGAAGCTTCACCAGAGACAGAACAGGAAGACTGAGGAAGTACACTGCTGTGGGGAGCACCAGGTGAGACAGGAAAGGTCTGCTTCACCATGTGGTCACCTCCAAGGCGGGGATCAAACTGGCACTGAAGTGGCTGTGGCTCACATGCAGTGCTGTGCTTTAACCCACTGCATCACCAGGGAGGGCCTCTTTCTGACTTTTATACACATTTCACAATGTCTCATTAATCAAAAATTGTTCTAAGTTGGGCCCTCCTGGTGACACAGGGTTTAAAGTCTCAGCATCAGCAATCTATCAAGTTACTGCCAGCCACTGTAGCATAAATTCCATCCCAGCCAGCGAGCTGACCCACATGGAGTACCAAACCTCTCATCTCACCCACTGTAGATCTGCCTGTTCTGCTCCCCATTCTATCTCTGGTAAATCCTCTCACCAATCCTCCCTCCTCCCCCACTTCTGACCCAGCCCCAGTCCTTATGTACATAAATTTAAAAAAAGAATTTCTTAAAAAAAATTGTTCCGAGAGACATTTAAACCGCTCTTCTACCTATACTGCAGAGATCTGCTGTCATTCAAGGCTCTGCATCACTAGTAATTTCTGATCATTAACATTTGCAAGAAAGTGTATTATTTTACAATGGACCCAAAACAATTTTTGTTTAATAATTTCATAGTGTTTTACCACGTATAATAATGAATACCAATGTACAGTGGAACAAAATTTCATTATGGCAATTTAGAAATACTTAGAATACATTATAATTCTTATTTACAGTTTTAAAATGAATTACAATAACCAAGCCTCAACATTATCAGCTATTGTTAAGAATTATGTTGCTCAAATTGTCAGGGAAATATACTGTATTTCCAGTGACAATAAAATTTTAATGAGAATGAAGATTTCTAGAGACTAATATTCTAAAGTGTACCATAGGCCAAAGCTACTGAACATAAAATACTTATCTCAGCCCCCAATTCAGAATATTCTCCAATTATTTACACCATTAATAGTTTTAACTTTTCTTTAAAAATACCTGGAAAAGAGCCATATTGAGCTCCTGACTGTCGTCTGGCTTCTTCTTCCTTCAATAGAAAAAGTGAATAAATTATCTAATGGGTAAGGGGAAGTCTGCTGTCCACTCCAACCTTTCCCATACAAAATCATGAAGAAAATAAGCTAGTTAAAGGACTTAGAAAACAGTCAAATTTCAAATGCCAAGGACACACCACCAAAGTATTCCAAATGGATTCTGAATGAGTATTACTTTTGGCAATAATCTCAAGTAGTGTTTTATTCCTGTTGGGAGGTGGGGGTGGGGGGAAGAAATGGAAAGAAACACATTTCTGTATGTATGACCCTGCATATATATGAAAACTGTACATGCTTAACTGTTTTTAAAACTTCAACCTGAAAGCCCCTGGTTAGAGTACTAAGACTGCCAGGACATTTGTTCCTAGGTCCATCATTTTTATACCTCACTACATTAACTCAACAAACAACTGGAGATTCACTAATTTTGCTATTTTTTAAGCACATATAAATTTCCCTTAAACCACTTATAAAGTCAAAAGGAGATATGTAAGTGTAAAACTTAGGTGAAGTTCAACCTATTCAACCTAACAGGTGCTCAAAAACATTAAATGACAAGCCATATAATTCTAACATGGTTTTATGTCATTTCATTCAATAATACCAGAAATAAGTAGGTATAAACTGATAACATCAATGTAAAATGTTTACATGGAAAAAACTCAAAAGAAATTTTAACACTGCAACAATACTATAGATGAATTACAGATTAACTTTTGTCTTCTAAATTTTTTGAGACTCTGTAACCAAGAATAAAATAAAACTAGAGTCAACCTTAAACAGGTTAAATATGAATCCACTATTGAGACCAGAAAGAATCAAAATTTAAGACATCAGGGAAAACACTTCAAGAAAACAACACTGCCAAGTCTTAATGTCCTGTCCAAGAAAAATTCTCAATTTAAAACACATAGTAAGAACATCAATTGGTGAAATAAAAATTCACATAAGATTTTAAAGACTTAAAATCTCCAGAAATTAAAGAGATAATGAAGGGAAAGCATTAAACAAAATAGCCAGGAATTAGAATGTTAATCCTAAACATTTTAACCTAAAATATCCTTTCAATGGTTTAGCTACAGAAATTTTACCCTCTGGGCTCTCTCATGTTCTTCTCGAGCCTTCTTAACCCGTTCTAGTCTTTCTTTGATCTCTAGTTCTTCACGCTTTCGTTCATACTTTCTCCGATGTTCTGCAATTTTCTGAGCCTAGGAGAAAAAGTCACAGAAAAGTAAATCTTCTCTAACAGTTGGTCAATGCAAAGCAACACTTCTGTTAAAGAGTTATTTTTCTTTGTTGAGACATATTTATAATTTAACAGTTTTATACAAACTTACTGTATAAAAAAAGACCTGGCATAACTCAGGATTTAACAAAGACACTGTGATTTAGAAAGAGAATGGGATTTGATGGTAGAGAAGAACTTAATAGTTATTCAGACACTATAGTAAATGTGAGAGTCATATTCAACCATTACTTTAGCTTATTTACCTTTTTAAGAACCTCATGTTTTAGAATGTATCACACAATAACCTTTGAAGTAAATTCAATAAAATTCTCACTAACTTAAAAGCTTTGGGAACAAGCTTGTACTAGTATAAGCCCCCACAAATTAGTTTAACAATTTTAGATAGAAATTATCTTCAAACAACATTATTGCTTTTGGATTCTTATCATCATTTTCTTTTTTTTTTAAGATTTGTTGATGCATACAGAACTGGGGTACAGGCCGGAGGTTGGGGGAGAGGGTGTTGATAGGATTCACCAGAGACAGAGTGGGGAGCAGAACAAGCAGACATATTGCAATGCACTGCTGAGGGGAGCAGAAGGCCGGTCAGGAGAGGTTTGCCATACCATGTGAGTCACTTCCCTGGCTGGGCATCGAACTTTGCTACAGTGGCCACAATAGCTTTACAGTGCTGTGTTTAAGGGTACCAGGGAGGGCCCTTAAGATTTATTTTTATTTATTTATGCATACAAGAACTGGAGTGTAGGCCAGAGGTGCACTGAGGGTGAGAGATTCACCAGAGACTCAGTGGGAAGCAGAAGAGGTGGATCTACTAAAACACTGCTGAGGGGAGCAGCAGGTGAGGTAAGAGAGGTCTGCTGTGCCAAGTGGATCAGCTCTGTGGCCGGGGAGGTACAGTGATTGACATTAGCTTGACAGCACTAAGATTTCAACCTCTATACCTCCAGGGAAGTCCCCATATTATCATTTTGAAAATGTTTAAAAATGTTAACTACAGAGTTTGCATGCTTTTTACAGTGGCTGCGTATATTTCTAATACATAACAGACTACATTCAATTTACTCAAACTACATAAAATCTTAAGATTTTAGGGATTTTTAAATTTTTCCTTACTATGAACTTGAACCCCCAGTTCCATTTCTAACTTTCTACTATTAGCTTGAAAACAAGTAGTAGAACTTGATATATAATACCACATGAAAAGGACTTTCCCTCCCTACTGTAACGTACCCTAGGTTGCACTTCTTTCAGCATTGCACTAGCGTCGTCATCATAATCCAGTTTACATGCAAGGGCAAGATCATGGGCTGCTTCTTCCCAATGGCCCAGAAGTCTGAAACAGATTTAAACCCTTTAGGAGTCTTTATACATGTCCACTTAGGTAGCACATTGTCTTTCTCCTTTAGACTAAAAAAGCATTTTTATAAAACAGATATTAAATCAAATATTGCCATGAACTAATTAAATCACCGTCGTTGAGTGTAGTGGGCTCTACACTAACTATGAAGCTGCTCTTCTACAAAAAAGAGAAATCTTTGGAAAGTAAAATTTGCTTTAATTCAGAATATGATGAACTTTCTAAATGTCTTGTCATTAAGTTACCACAAACATGCTTAATGAGCATGATGTATAGTCAGCAACCTTCTTTCTATTTAAGACAGAAAAGAAAAATAATACTTGTGTGTACATTTTACTTAAAAAGGGAAAGAAAGGCTAACTCAGAAACTAAATATTGGAGGGGATAGAGCAGAGGTGCAAGCAAGGGGGCGAGAGCTGCCCCTGCTAACTCAGCACTGACTCTAAACATGCACATGGCTTTATGCCCAAAGAAATATTTGAGACTGAAATAAGCAGTTAAATCTTTATAACAATGATAACATAAACCACACCAAAAAAACTAATCCCAGTAATTTTTAAGACAATACTTTAAAAGTGTATCCTAAGTGGGATATAGTTGAAGAATAATAAAAATTTTAAAAACCTGTACAATTTAAGAGTGTACTGTTTCAAGTATGTGATTCTGGAACAATTTCAAATATGTTAAAGAAACAAATATGTTGCTAACAAATACATTACTAGGGATAAAGATTTTTGATCCTAGGAGAATACTGTCAAAAAAACTAAATGGGAAAACATTTAACATTGAATTTTAATAGAAAATATTACTAAAAATTCAAACTTTTCCCCCTTAAAATGGCTGTTTTAAAAATGCTTTTGCTTGCAAAATGATGTAAAAATAAACTTTTGTAGTAATAAAAAAAAATGCTTTTGCTGTCACTGAAATAACAGTAGTTAAAATATCCAAGAAGAAATGAACATACCTAATGGTCAAACCTTAGCTTTGAGAAATACAATCACCACTGAAATTAACCATGATTCCACAAAGAAGTGGTTTGGAGCAACTGAACACAAAACAAGCCCAGGCTACCCTGGATGAGAAGGCAAGAAATGCTTGACAACTCAGGCCATGGCGCAGTAGAGAGGCCTGAGCTCTCCTATACCCACCTTGTACCGCAACACTTTATTCTAAAGTGTTTACTTTACTGTGTTGTCTTCAAAACCACTGAGCTACTTTCTAGCATCTCCTGACAGCTATCCCAAGCACGGCCCATCTTCATCTGCACCCATAGTTCAAGTGTAAATGCGCTCAATCCACTTAAGATGTAAATGTCATCGGACACTTCATCCCTAAGCCACACACACTCACTTATATGTTAAGTTTACTTCCAGGAATGATTACTATTCTGGATTAAATTCAATGTTTCACTAGATGCCCTTTTCTGATTTTTCAGGTGACCAAGCAGTGATGGAAGAAAAAAGAGGTTAGTATAATTTTCCTTCTATATAACACTGGTTGTTTAAGTTTACAAAAAAGAAAAATCTGAAAATAAAATTTGTAAGAACAGAGATAAAAGACTAATCTCATTCTTTTTCTTTGAGAAAAATTCTTACCTTATATTTGACATTTTGTGGTCAAAAATTGTTAGTTGTGATTTCTTTGAATGGGAGGAGTGAAAATTTTTATTTTCTCATCTGTTCCCTATGGTAGTTTCTCAGTTCATCATATTGAGTATATACTGTTTTGAAATTAACCCTCAGGCAACTTTGGTTTCTTAAAGAAAACATTAAAACATCCGATTTAAATCAAAAAATTCTGAAAATAATTAAATTCCATTAACTACCTGTGTGCTTTTCCTCGCCACTTGTAAGGTTGAGCTGAATCAGGATTTATTTCAATAGCTCTGTCACAGTCCCGGATGGCAGCATTTGGCCTCTGTAATTTGATGAAGACACTAAAAAGTGGCATAATAAAAAGCATTCATTTCAAATAATAACACCTTTTAGGACTGCCACAGAAGCAATCCTACCTAAGCAAATGAACAGAGAGTATTCATCAGGAGATGTTTTTTGGTTAGTGTTCTCACCTGGCTCTCTTTGCATACAGAATGGCCAAGCGAGGATTCAGCTTGATGGCGTCTGTGAACAAGTCAATGGCTTTCTGTAACTCACCTGAAGTAAAACAAGAATTACTGAGAAATATTCTGAGGTACAGGTATTAAAAAGTGTTGATTCTGGGCCCTCCCTGGTGGTGCAGCAGGTTAAAGCACAGCACTAAGAAGCTAAAGCCACCTCAGCATGAGTTCAATCCCGGCCCCGGGAGGTGACCCACATGGTGCGGCAGATATCTACCTTTCCTGAACCACCCACTGCTCCCCTCATCAGTGTGCTTTGTTGATCCGCCTGTTTTGCTCCCCACTCTGTCTCTGGTGGAGTCTCTCACTGCCCCTGCACCTCTGGCCTATACAACAGACAATAGTTCTGTATGAATAAATAAATAAATCTTTAAAAAAAAATCTCAGAGCAGGAATATAACGGAACAGACAAGAAAATAATGATAATCATGAACAGCTAAATGCCAGAGACATTTTGTGGGGGTGAAGTGGGGAATGGGATCAAAAACAGCGGGGGGAGGGAACTGCACTGGACTGTGGTGATGGCACACAGTGATTTGGTGATGGGAAACCCAAGGGGATTGCAACTGAGATGGAAAAATGCACAAAAATATGTAAAAATAATATTATAAAATTAAAAGCAAAACCAAAAACTGTTGATTCTTATTCAATGAAAACTTTCATATTCTTGTTTTAACCTAGTTAAAAAGAAATACTTAGCTTCTAAAACTATATACAAAATAGTAAGTTGAGGGAATGGCACCATAAGATAATGGGACACATCAAAACCCCTGAGCCTGACGCTATTAATCTGCAAAATGGGGTTAGTCCAAGGTCTTAGTGAAATAATTCCCATTAAAACACAACAAACAAAACTGCCATGAATCTAGAGGGCAGAAAACACATGTCTGATAACTAGAAATCTTGGGCAGCAGGGAAACTAAGAAACCATCAGTGTGGAAACGCAATGGTCAGGAAGAGAATGGTAAGAGTTCAAAGCTGAGAGATAGAGAAGAGCTTTACAGAAAAGCAGTAGAATGCTAGTAAAAAAGGTGAGGTCTGATTGTAAACACTCAAAAAGAAGAGAATAAAGATGGGAAGGCAGATACGGGTTTGACTCCAGCAGGCACAATGCTGCGAAGAGTTTCCAAATGTATGTGAAGGTGAATCACAGGTTACAAGGCAAAGTGCACAACTACTAGAAGGTTTAAGTGAGAATAATCTGGGGAAAGGGACCAGAAAGCAAAAAGGAAACAGACATTTCGGTCAGCAAGCTATTAAGCATTTGCAAAAGCATAAACACATGCTAATAATGTAAGGTAGTGGAATTACCAAAAAATGTAGTGCATGTATTTGTGAATTTGGAACAGTATACTCAACTCATTAAAAAATAAAACCTCAGTCATTTTCTATGTCCACTGATGGCAGCCAAAGTACTGTGCACCAGCAGCTATCAGCGATGGTGGTGTCACGCTCCTTCCAAGTATGGCAAAGGGAGTTGCATGAACTATTACTATGGACATGAGCCCATGGGCACCACTTGTAAAAAAGTAAGAGCCACTCCTTTAATATACTCTTTGAAAAGCCACTTTTACATCCTCTTTTTAGTGAGGAAACACCAGGATACTTAATCAAGAAAACAATTTTTGCATTCTATCTACCTTGAGTCAAGGTAACTAACAGATACTTGAGGGATTTCAGCCCTTTCGCAATAAGGAGGGAATAGGTGAATAGGGTGACTGTTCTCCAGCATGACATACTGGATAGATTTGAAGTTACCTCCCATTCTTCCGCTATTCGGGAGCTACTGCAACAGAGAAGGCTATTCAGTCTGCTACAGAAAGCCAGTGAAGAGGGGAAAATCTTACCATCATTTAGGGCATCAATGGCAGCCACTTTTTTCTCATTTGCCTGATCCATCATCTCCTCTGTTATCTATGGGGAAATGGAAGGTCAAATTAGTAGAGAATGCAGACAAAAAGATGCGAGAAGTCTGGACTTTCTTCGTAATGAGGTAGCCACTTTCATTCATTCCTCTCTAGTGTCTAAGGACTATGTACATGAAACTGGTTAGTAAGAAACTTACAGGGTGAGTCTTGGTCTTTCACACCAAACAACAAAATTCACTCCCTACACTCTGCCTTAGACTTGGCCTAAGCTTCCCGCCATTCCAATGGAAGCAGACTGTTCTGCCGTTGGTTCCCAACTCCTTTGAGTTATTCACGAATACTAAAATCCAGTCTCCTAAAAAGAAGATGAAAATGTTCCAGGGTTAAGAAACGCTAACAACCTGAGATTTGAAGGTGCCCAGTAAATCCCAAGTATAAAAAATGTAAGGTAATGCAACCATCAATAAATAGAACACAAATTTTAATAAATTACTTCTATATATAGTGACAAAATACTTCCAGCTGTTCTTTAAAAATACACATACAAGGTCTTTATGGAGAAAAAGTTATTGAAAGAACTAAAATAAGGTAGACATGAAATTTATGGGTAGTTAATCCCAACACTAGGAGAAGTATCTTCTCCTTAACTTGATTTACTCTATGCAATTAATGGAGAAGTCCCATTGGATGGACTGGCGGGAGGGTGATGGGACATGACAATCTGATTCTAAAATTATGACAGTCAAAATATTCCTGGAGTGCTAGGGATCCTGATGCTATTTTGTATAAAGACTTAGTACAAAGCTAGTTTAAGACACGTGTCTCTAGTGCATGGGGAAAAATGAGACAAACAGAATATGAGTGTACCAAACCAGACTCCTCCCACATAAATGGAAGCAGGGCATGTTGGCATTAGTGAGAAAAGGAATTCTTTAGCAACAGTGTTGATAGGCTGATTAAAGGGGAAAGGCAAACAAAACATTTTAAGGAAAAAAACAATATATTACAGGATTTATAACCTTGAGGCACTAAAATAATATAAAAAGAATTATCAAGTTGCCTATATTTAAAAATTTTTAAAAGGACATAAAGATAGTGAATACAAACCAAACTATCAGAAAACACATGGAACACACATGGAACATTGACATGCTGTTAATATCCAGAATAGTAAATTGTAAATCAGTAAGGAAAATTAAAAAAAACAATCCAGCAGAAAAAGGGGTAAAGTACAAATAGAATCTCATAAATACCTGTGAATGACCAGTAGACATTAAAATTTGTTATTAGAATCTGAGGTCTCCCAGATTCTGGTGGCACAAGGGTTTAAGTCTCAGCACTACGAAGCGATCCAGCAGCCATTGCAGCATGAGCTCAATCCCCAGTCCCTAGCCAGTGAGCTAGCCCACAGGGCACAGCAGACCTTTCCTGTCTCCCTGTTGCTCCCTGCAGCAGTGTATTTCAATAGATCTGCCTGTTCTGCTCCCCACTCTGTCTCTGGTGAATCCTCTCATCCCCCAAACCTCTCATCTACACCCCAGCTCTTTTTTCTTCGAAGATTTATTTATGCATACAGATTGGGGTACAGGCCAGAGATGTGGAGGATGAGAGGATTCACCAGAGACAGAGTGGGGAGTAGAACAGGTTGGTCTACTGAATTACTGAGAACAGCAGGGAGACAGGAGAAGTCTGCTATGCCTTGTGGGTCACCTCCCTGGCCAGGATGAACTCGTGCTGCAGTGGCTGTGGATAGCTTTATAGTGCTGTGCTTTAACCCACTGTGCCACCAGGGTGCCAACCTACATACATAAATACGTTAAAATCTTAAAAAAAAAATACTTTGTCACTAAAAATCTCATTTTAGAAATTAGGATAACACAAATTTGTGAATTAAAAGCTACACAGACATTGGTAAAAATAAAAGTAAGAATGGTAAAAGTAAAATCTGAGTTATTCGATGAGACTATAAACTAATCTCTTAAATGTCTTATTTTATTTCAGAGCTTTTTAACTATCAAACCCAAAGAGTGCCCTTTTAGACTTTTGCCCTTCAATTCTCACCCCTTCTATTTTAATACAAGATACACCACATATGATATGACCCTATGGAGAATCACTAACCACGGTAATAGATTAATACATTAACTACAACTAGTTATTTATATAACTATACGTTATATGTACACATGTTCTGTTATATAACATTCTACTAAATGTGCACAATATTAATCCAAAACCCAACATTTTTTCAAGTCCTCCCCACCCCCAGAACTACTTCTCATCACAGAGGGCAAATATTGTGCCAAAACCATTCTGGAACCAACTCAGCATTAGATTTTCTATTATTAGCTGATGCCACTTGCAGATGTGTTCGGTGAACTGTACAGCCTAAAACTGTCAAACTGATGTTAAATTCAGTGGGTAAACAGAAATATTTCACAGGCAGTATGATTAAAGGAGAATTTCCACAATCACTTTACATCATAAAATAAATGCTTCCCTACTTCATGTATCATAGAAAGATTTAATATGTGCTTTTTCTTGAAGAATTCCGTTACAATTATTTTTAGGTTTTTTGATTTTTTTTTATTTTAAGGCTTCAAAATCCTTTAAAAGGCTTTTTAAATTAAGAATTAAAAAAGCCTTCCAAAGTTAAGAACTCTGTCATAAAATTATTGCAATGGGTGGTACCTTCAAAAACCTTAGGAAAAAATCAAGTAACAAACCATTGAACTTACCTCTACATTTTCATCTCCCATTTCTTGAGGGGCATCAGTGTCTGGTTCAATCACACCTTCATTGTCAATTTCTGCCAAAAGTAAGAAAAATGATGGTAAGACCTATGCTGTCATAGTAGTCAAGAGCCATCAGAGGCTACTGAAAACTGGTGAACTGTTTATGGTTAGTTCAATTGGCACATTGAATATTTCA